CTAGCACAGGGGGGGGGGTAGGGTTGCGCCAGGGCAATTGATGAGACTCGAAGGAAGGGTTGGGGGGGTCTTCTGAGGGGTCCATCTGGATAACCAAATGTCCAATTACCGAGGGTCACTGTCATACCTCTGCAACAACCCGGTAGGACTTCAGCAAGGACATGATGTAGGAATACTACATGAATAGTATCTATAACAGTGCTGCACGCAAAAAAAAAAAAAAAAAAAAAAAAAAAAAAAAAAACACCCCCCACCCCGGATTCTCTAATAAAAAAAAAAAAAAAAAAAAACAGTGCTGCAAGCCCGGTAAGACCGGGGAACCCTCCCCCAACTGGAACCGGACCGGTCCTACCTACCGGCCGGCCGGTCTACCGGACCGGTTCCCCCCCGGTTGGCCGTAGCACATCTCTTTCTTTTTTTTTTTGTTTTTTTTTTTGTTTTTGAGGCCAAGGACTACACCCACGGTGATCACTGGCAGCGGCAGCCGGAGGTTGTCCTGACTGGATAGGCCACCTTCCCTACCCTTCCCCACATTAATGCTCCCAGCGCACCCCCTATCCCTACTATCCTACCTCAGTGTCAGGACCAGCACTCAGGACCATCAAGCTACCAGTATCGAGGGCAACTTGGAAGCAGACAGCAGTGACAAGCACCCCCTAACACTAAAACCCCCACCCCCCTTTTCAAAGTTTTTGGGTGGGAAGTACGTCCCTACCCTGCCACTAACACCCCCAGCTCAAGTTTCAAAGTTTTGGGGGGAAGGTTAACGTTTGCAGAAAGCCAGGTAGTACATTCTTGTCAATGTCTGCTGAAGCCCGTGCTTGCTGAAACCCAACCACTAACACCCTCACCATAACCCCCCCAACCCCCGACCCTCAACCCCTAAAATACACCCCCCCCCCCCCCCCCACCCCCCCCAAATGAAACTTCTCTGTCCAAAGTTTTCTTTGCGGATTCGGGGGGATCTTGGTGAGTGCAGTCCAACCATGTTTTTCAAAAAAGAAAAACAAACATTTTGACTCACGTTTGGGCCCAACCGGAATAGGGGAAACCATGCCGGAATCACAAAAAGGAGTTATAATTGCACTATGGGCCAAGATACAGTTTCGAGTTGTACACAATCCAGCTTTCTGGCCACGTACTAGGGTGCCCAAAGTGCAATTGCAAACTGTATCTTGCCCCATAGTAGTGCAATTATAACTCCTTTTTGTGACTCTACTGAGCTTACCCCTAATTTGTTTTTATTATTTACACCAGTACCTTTGACGGTTCGAAAATACTCGGCCTCCGACCTTTCAGGAGGCCGAAACATTTTCACGGCCGCCGATCAGATTTATCAACGGCAGCCGTTGTCGGGCCCGGCCTCCTAAAAGTTCGGGTACTGGCCAGTACCACGGCTAATATAGGCTCGGAGGTACTGGCAGCCGTTGTCGGGCCAGGCTTCCTAAAAGTTCGGGTACTGGCCAGGACCACGTCGAAAATAGGCTCGGAGGTACTTCGGATAAAAGTTCGGGTACTGGCCAGGACCACGTCGAAAATANCTGGCCAGGACCACGTCGAAAATAGGCTCGGAGGTACTTCGGATAAAAGTTCGGGTACTGGCCAGGACCACGTCGAAAATAGGCTCGGAGGTACTGGTGGAAAAAAGTGTGCTCAGCCAGTACCTCCTAAAAGCCGTTGTCGGTATTGGCATGACATAGAACATCATTCCCGATAAATGTTGAAAGCAGCGCGCGCGGACACCAAGCGAACGTAAAGGAGGGGGACTGAGGTAGTGATCGCGGGAGGGGCTGAAGGGAGGGAGGGGTTACTTCGGTGGGACAATACAGGACGCAGGGCTGGTAATAGCGCTTAACAGACAATGGGAAAAGTACGGAGCCAAGACGAGGGAGGGTAGACCCATATGGATCTGAGTATAACTCCTATAGAAAACGTCTAGGTGGAATATGAACGAGTGTGAACATAAGCGAAGGATGTGTGGTCACAGAATGACGGGGTAGGATAAGAGGGAGAAGGGACCAGGGGGTGTGGGGGAGCCGGTTCCGGTGATAGTTGAAATAGAAGGTGAGGGGGGCGGGGGGGGAGGAGGATGGGGGATAGGCAATGTCTGGGTACCACTGGGAGTCTCCGGTTTCTTCTACTACTACTGGCCGAACCTTCCCTGGCTATAGATTGCATGCACTGGATCCTGGACAATGTTACTGTTTTGTTCATCAATGCTTGACGGTGATAAGAAACCGGAATGAAGCCCCCCAGAATAGCAGTGGCAAGAGGGGGGGGGGGGGGCGTAAAAAAAACATAAAAGAAAAAGTCCACAAAGTATCACAAAGTCCTGTATGTCAATGCGTAGTGGGCAACTTAGCAACGAAGTATCACGTAGTGTCACATAGTACCACATAGTACCATGCTCACCCAGCCTGTGTAGTACTTGACAGTACCATATAGTACCGCATATTGCAACGTAATACCACTTAGTATATACAATACAAAAATAATAGTAAGACATTATACCTCACCCCGCGCACATTGCAGCACGCCCGCGGCCCGCCCAACCTGAATACCAGCACACACAGCCCATACAGTAACACACCCTCGCCTTTGAGCACAGCCCGTTGGCATAACGCTGCAGCCAGGCAGCCCCCATACTGCTGCACTCAGCCTGCATGGCGTGAGAGCGAGAGCGAGAGCGCGCGCACACACACACACACACACACACACACACACACAGAGAGAGAGAGAGAGAGAGAGAGAGAGAGAGAGAGAGAGAGAGAGAGAGAGCGTCCATGCCTATGCTTCGACTTTCTCCCATGCTTAGGGCATTGCTATTCAACTTCGCTTGCCTCCAACAGCATTGAATCAGAGGGCTGGTTGGCCACCGCGCACCTCAATTTTTTGTACATAATAAGAATAATGTAAAGCATTTAAGAAAAAGGGTGTACGCATGGGATGCATACCCGGGGTATATTAAAATAAACGTTTTTCATCGAAAGCAGAATACACATGTTAGAAGCTGTTGCGGGTTACTCAATACACAGAGAAGTTGTATGTGGACATACAACACATAGAAGAGCTGTATCTGAGAAATGGTCCAATTAAAAAAAAAAGAAAAAAAAAAAGAAAAAAAAAAAGAAAAAAAAAAAGAAAAAAAAGAAAGAAGAGCTGTATGTGGACATACACATACAGGGTGCGCTGTACTGTGGAATTCCAATTGCAAATCCGGTATTTACAGGTAATGGCATATATTAGAAGTCAAGACTGCTCATTGCACCCCACCTACCGCTAGGTCTCCCTAGCCCGGTATATACATATATATATATATATATATATATATATATATATTTAAAAAAAAAAAAAAAAAAAAAAAACACCAGAAAAAAAGACTGAAATAGAGACTGTACTACATCTTAAACAGGGAACCATAACTGTGTTCACGCAGAGAGTGCTGTTCCGGGTACTAGATGATGGTAATATAATAATAATATATTTATTATTTACTAATTAATATACATACAAAAAACATTACAAATTTAAGAGAACATGTTTGCTGAGCCAGCCAGCTAGCACACACACTTAGAATGGTGATCCATGACTCAATGGAGAGACACTCCCCGTTGATCTGCTTGAGGTGGGTTTGTTTGAAATGTCAGAAACAGGACCAATCACTTGCGAGTGGGGTATGGACGATGCTCTGCTAGCCAGGGCCATGACGTTCTCCTCAAGAATATTCCGAGGAAGTTTTCCCACCACCACCCCTTCTTCATCCCCATTCCCATCGAGAAACGCAAAATGGGGGATACCCTCAACCCCAAACTCGTCGACTTCTTCGGCCCATTTCACGTTATCTATGTTGAGCATCACGAAATTGACATCGTCCTTGTACTTCTCCTCTATTGCAAACACATCTTTGGCCATGGTCCTACACACCTCACACCAGTCAGCGTAGAATTCTACCATAGTCGGACGTCCATTCGACATAGCGTATTCAAACGGCAGCGAGGATTTCTCAAGCGTCGACAGATCTGGCCCAGCACCTGCCAATCTAGTGGCCATAAATAACCCTGCAGACAGCCCAGCCGATATCAGCGCGATGGTTCGGTTCGAGCCTTGAGTTGCCATTGGCGACGAAGAGTCATCATCGACATTGAATTGCTTCGGCAAGGGATAACCCACCACCTCTCCCACCACCTCCTTCTCTTCCCGCTCACTCTGCCCATCACTTGCACTCACGACCCTTCCCGGCCCGTCTGCCCCATCTCCATCTGCTTCCGATTGTCTTCCACACTCGGTAGTCGTTGTCGTTGTCGTTGTGGCGCAGCCAGACTTGATCTCCTGATTCTCCTCTCCTACGCGAAAGACCTCAGCGACTGCATCGTCCTCTTTCAGTGCCCTACCTGCTACCCAACTCGATCGACCATTTTTCTCAAGTGGTGGTCGGGCACCCACCCTCGATCTCCTCTCCCTTGTCACTGAGCTCTTTCGCATACTACCAGAGAATTGAATCATCAATCTCCTCTGTCCATGAGGTCCGTGAGGTCCGTGAGGGAGGTGTTTCCTCTGGGCCACGTCGGTTATGTTAGCATCACGGCACTGCACTCTCTCTCCCTGAGCTCCATGCTGTCGAGACACGATCTTGCTTTGCCGGATGCTTCCCAGCTGCTCGGGGCACTGCCGGTTGGTACCGGATGCATGGAGCATGGAGGAGTTGAGAGTCTTCACACACACCTCTTTTGCGAATTGACATGATGCCGCCATTATTATTTTGCTGCCCTCCTTCCTTCCCTCCCTCCCTCCTATCTACAGCAGCTGCAGCAACCGCCGGCCACCTCACCTCACCTCCCGCTATCACGCCTCTGTGCACATCCACATCCGGGAAATTCAATCGCCATCCGGGAAATTAGCTAATGAGCCTCAGAGTCTGTTTCATATCGTCGACTGGCAACAAACATGTAATACTTTGATTAACAATCCTTTGTTGTGTGTTAACCAAAAGGGGAAAAAAAAAAAAAAAAAAAAACTTTGTTTCGCATACCTTCAGATCCCCCCCCCTCGTAGATCCAACCAACCACATCCGCTTTCAGTCTCCCAGCAGACTGGCCAACAACAACAACAAAAAAAAAAAAGGGAAAAAAAAAAGACTGAACATTTATGTGCATGCCCCCCAGCACGAATTTGTGTCGATCCAACCCTCCGTCATTTGTGTGCATGGACTTTGCAAATTCTTTTTTTTTTTTTTTTTTTAATTACGTCCTGGGAACCGGGCCGAGCGTCCCTCATGAAAGTACAAAGAACAATGGAAAGCACCGGGGCACCTTCTTGGTCCGGGTTTGACCGGCTGGATTTTTTTTATTTTTTATTTTTTTTTGGGGGGGGRGGGGGGGGGGGGAAGATTTTTCATGGTGTTGACCGTATGCTTCTGTCCTTTGCAGCTTTGGTACTTATGACACAGTGACTGTCCTTTGGGCCCAAAGGACAGTGTCATAAGTACCAAAACACAAACTTTAAGAAATTGCTTGTGCTTTGCTACTTATGACACTGTCCTTGAAGTTTGTGCTTCCCTAACCAGTCAATCAATTGATAGGGAACACTGGAACAGGGCCAAGCAATCTACGGCAAACACAGGAACTAACAACACGGTGACCCAATTATTGTAAAACAACCCATGCATCGATCAACAAGTCAGTCCATCAATTAACGGGAACAGGGCCAAGCGTCCCTCATCAAATTATACAGAAAATTTGTTAAATACGCGGGTGATTACCCGTTTTCGGCCAAAAAAGGAGGAGGAGGAGGAGGAGGAGGAGGATATGATTATGATAACGCTTCCCACAAAATGCTATGAGCTTCATGAACCACTACTAACCTCCCATCTACCAAACCCCACATTCCAAGTGACCCTACAGGCCTCCCCTACATCAGCCAGAGCTGTCCTGTTCGTACTGCAAGCCTATACCCGGCCTCACACTCCCAACATGCTCCGACCATTGTTGTCCTGGCAGCGCCCCAATCCAGGGCAGTGTGAACCGGACAGCTCCGACCATTGTTGTCCTGGCAGCGCCCCAATCAGCCAGTGTGTGTCGTGCTGCCCAGCTGTCCTGGCAGTGTGGGTCGTGCTGCCCTGTTAGGGCGCTGCCAGCCAGTGGCAGGACAACAATGGGTCGTGCTGCCCTGTTGTCCTGGCAGTGTGAACCGGCCGGACAGCTCCGACCGTGACCATTGTTGTCCTGGCAGCGCCCCGCCGCCCCAAATAGCCAGTGGACTGTCTTCCACCCCGACGAGTCCCCAGATCTATCTACCAGGCCTCACGCTCCTGCCTATCCAGGTTACAGGGCCTGTCCGGGCCTGTCCAGGTTACAGGGGCTCTGTCCTCGTACCTTTGTCCAAAATTGTTCCCGGCCTCAGTTTTCTATTGCAACTCACAAGTGGGTTAGGGGTACCCTTGAGGAAGGGACTTACTACGTCACCCAGAGTTAGCCGTACCCCTCAGAGAAAAGTGGTGGACTTCACTCACACCAACCCTGCAATCCTAGCAGACTGTCGGTCCACACCCCTGACAAGAATGGCATTGAGAGAGAGAGA